TATTTTTAATCATTTATTTATCATCAGAGTTTTGAATTTTGAAATATAAAACTTGGAAATTGAATTGATTATAGTTAAGGGGAAATTAGGCCCAGTACAGGCTGGATACTTTAAAATTGATTAATGAAGTTAACATTTTAACATTTTCTACATGCGTATTAATTACAGTGTAATAAAGAAAGATATGCCAAACCCTCCTCTTTCAATCTCTCATTTCACTGTCCCAATTTCTCATTTCTCACTGCCTTCCTCTTCCTCGAACTCGCCATTGTCGCCCATCTTCGTTCTCTCCCGCTTGGATTCGTCGGAGATTACCAAGCTAACACGGATCAACCAGGCTTTTAGGGCAACCGTCTCCACGAATTGAAGTGTTTCTAACAATAGGTCTGATAGTTGCTCTTGTCTTCGTTTTCTGCATCTTTGTCACAAGAAAATTGATAGATGATTTGAGGATGATTTTATTGGCAATTGGAGAATCATAATTATGATTTTAGTAGTTGTTTCGTGCTACATGTAAGTCTTGCAATTTTCATTTTAATGAATTTTATGTTAGTTTCTCAATTTTTTTAATGGTTTAACTTGTGAAATCTCACCATTGTTGTCTCCAAAATTTGTAGTAGTTAAATTTCTTAGTTTTCTTATTAACAATTTCAAAGCCCTGTAGAACTATGCGACGTTTGACCTGTTACTTCGAGATGAACATATGATTTACTCCTTGTCGTCCGATTTCTATTTTCTTTCTATTTTATTAACACATTGAAATTTCTAACCAGGCCGAATTAAGTTACTTGTTGATATTTTGAAGATGAATATTGAAGTTGATAAATGTTGAATTTGAGAGCATTGATAGAGATCATATTACATGGGCATAGTTTATTCTTTTACTTATTCCTGGTGGTATAGTTCTGAAATGTTAATTTGACAGTTTAGCATACATAAGTTGTGGCTATATACTATTTGATTTCTTTTTACTGCATAAATCTCCTTACTTTTGTTGGTCTTTTGTCTAAATCCACTCCTCATATATCATTCTTCCCCATTCCATAATTACTACTGTGTTCCATGAATTTTCTTTCCTGAATCAACTTTTGTAGTGCCTATGGAATTTCAATTATTGGTTTGTCAATGTTATATAGTTCATAAGACTATAATAAACATTATACAACTTCAAACTATAATATGATGTCTATTTTTTTAGTTTGTGACTTTTATTTTATTAGTTTTTTGTTACTTTTCTAATTTTTGGTAACTTTTTTGAACTGGTCATTTTATTGAATTACTTCCAAATACAATTTAATGGTTCGGTCACCCATATTGTTAGGCAAATTGTTGTC